TTAGGATGAATGATTGCGGTCAAAATTGCTCAGTTTAAAAATTTCATTAAGACGATCCATAATGTTCTATGATACTGGGTATTTTTTTTTTCCCTTAGCAACATGCAATTAATATTTTATGAATCATGCTCCTATGTTTCCCTCTTTTGTGTATTGGTTTGACACTTTTGAGTTCCCAATCATAATAGAGATTCACTCAACTTTTCCACTGCTCTATTCACTAAAAAGAATCGTGAAGCTCTTGTTAGTTTGGTGGGGAAGGTGGATCCGAAAGCAAGCATTTCGTCTCTGCAATATAACTTAATAAAATTTTCCAATGGGTGCCTGCCCATTGCTTATGATGAGTTGGTAAGCTAACTGAAACTGAAACATGTGAACGCATAACAGCAAAAGGGGAGGGGACAACAGGCTCGATGCTTGTCTTGTGGAACAGAGCAAAATTCAAGAGATGGAAGAAATATGTTTATTTTGTACGCAATAGAAACAAATGCACGTGAATTCCGCATATCTTCTTCAAGAAATACCCACTTGCTCTGCTCCAACCATTGTTATAAATATATTAGAAACAATGTGCCATAGCTTTCATCAATTAACATGCATGCTCTGTTCTGCTCTTCTCTTCTCTGCTCTGCTGTGTCAGATACTCAGATGTACATTGGTAGTTAATTAGTTACTCATTCTCTAGCTAACTACTATATATATCCTCATTTAGCCATTAGTAGCAACTAAGGAATCTCAATCAAATTTAAGCACTTTGGATTGTGATGGCAAATGGTTTCTCACTTGGAAGGCCCCACGAGTTCAAAGAAGTTGATGGCTGTCTAGTGAGTCAATAGGGAGCTTCTTTGATTCGAGACACAGACAAGGGAAGGATTGGTAAGAGACTGAGAGGTCGTTTGCTTGTAGGATTTTGTTGAGTAATTTTATTGTTGTTTGTTACATTCTATCATCTTTTGTTGTTGTTATTGTCGATATTATAATTGGATATTTCTATTTCCGACTATCGTCAAATGGGTTATTCGAAATGTTAAAAACTCCTGGGGGGTTAAACGTCCAATCCATTTCCCGGTTTCGTCAATATATACCGGGCCAATGGTGGAGTAACATTAAATCGAGGAGAGCTCTAGCTCTGTCTCAACTTTGTAGGAATACATATGAACTTTGCAATATATATGAAAAATAGACTAACGAATAAGGGTCTAGCACCCTCTCCAATTACCATAATTCAAATATCTTAAGTGTAGGGGGCTATACGGTCCGATCCGGTTAAATTGGAACAAATTGATCCGGTCCCAGTCCGGTCTTTTCGGGAATATAAGGACCAAAAATTGGATTGGATCAAGTCCGGTCTTCATCTGGTTCGTTCCGAATTTTATCTTGATTTTAGGTGTTGGAGGTCTCTTATCCGATCTTTATCAGGTTTTTTACCTCAAATCTAAGCCCGAATATGAGATTGCATTGTTTGCTATCCGGTTCCAATCCGGGTTATACGGTCCGATTTCGGGTAAAACAAATACCTGGCTCCACTTCTATGTCTGCCTATGTCTCTTATATGCCCAATTGCCCAACCCAACTAGCAACTAGGCAGAAACAATAATTCTCTTGCATTAACCTACAAGAAAAAGGTATACGGTATGACACATCTATGCACAAACTAACTTCAAAATCAACGGACAAACTTGATTTCAACATACAATACAAATGAAGAAGGAAAGTACTTTGAGTTATGATTTATTTTTGTCTTCATTGTTTATGCAATAATGTCCCATTGTTGAGGTAATTGATTATAATTGCATTGTTTTGTTTGTTTGCAAATAGAGAGAGTTGTTCCTTCTACATCCTCTTCTTCGTGGTTCCACCTCAATTTACATGCAATAATTTTCTATGCATAACTCCCTTCTCATTGATAAATGATTGGTCTATATTTTCATAGTCATGATTTTGTGGCATTTGTCACATAGTGCGTTGGACATGGACCCAAAAAATGGGAGCATATGAGAACCCACTTAATTATCCATATGCAATTGCATTTGAATAATGTGATGACCTAGGGTTTTTGCAAGTTCCCAACTTGTACAACTTAATCAAGATGCAAAATGTGCACCTCAACAACATTGGGTAGTAGATAGTAACATATTCCAGGGATAAAGAGTTTGAGTTAACATGCAAGTAAAAGTAATCGATTGGAAATATGCTATACGAGTCCAGCCATGTAATTTTAACCGCACGAGGGAATCGAAATTTTGTATAAATGGTCGAGACTCGAAATTGTTGAACTACTAAATCATAAACCGCATTTTGAGATGCAAAGGTGTTTGGTTAAACCAACCTAACAACCAACCTCCATTTTTTTTTTTGTCTTGTCACACTTGGTACGTTTTCTTCTTAATTTGAAACAAAAACACAAGTGGGGAGAAACCAACAATATTCAAATGGCAAAGTACAGTTTAGTTATTTCACAATGTTTATGAGGATCACATGAAAATACTCATAGTATTTGCATAGCTCAATGGTCAATTCTGAAATTATTTCACTTGATAAGTACCATCTATTTCTATTTTTTTTTTATGAATAATAAGTACTGCTTTCCTCGTTTGTAAATAGCATTTTATTTTTCATATTATTGATGATTTGAGGTACATTTTGGGTAATGATAGGAAATTGTTCCTCATATTTGTACTTTGATTTCTTTCTACTCTCTCTGCATTATAATTTTTTATGTTATGCCCAATCTAACAACTGTATCATATAAAAACGTTACACTAAAACAATAAAGTATGGAATTTACAGGAGTAAAAACTCAATACTATAAACTAGCACGAAATTTTTAAAGATACGGTATCTAGAAATATATCACACTTGCTTTTTTTTGGTAGAAAAATATATCACACTTTCACCATGGAAGAATCAAAATTCACGAGTCTTTTCTGAGCCTAAAACCCGCAATACTTACTTAAATAAGATAAGAGAGACTCCACAAGTGCCAGAAGTAGTTGGGACTGCCAATTTTTAAATAATTAAATTATTAAAAAGAATTTGAGATGTCGAAAAAGGAAAGTAGAAAAAGAAAAGAAAGTAGAAAAAGAAAGTGACAAAAGGAAAAGAAAAAAACAGTTGTAAATACTTGGTACCGATATAAAAACTATAAATTATCCTCTCGGTATCTCTTTTCCGGTTTTCTAAGCCATTCGGTTTCTTTTGTCTCTCTCTCTCCTCGCTGTTTCTTTTTCGTCTCCGTTAACTTTTTTTTTCCCCGTCTCTGCTCCTTCCGCCGGGAAACTCCCTCTGCGCACGCCGGGAAACCGCTTGTTTCTCACCGTCGATCTCGCCGGCTGCTTCACCGCTTCAAGAAGCTTCCTACTTGTGGTTCCTTCGGTGCGAATTCGAAGATTCCGGGGATCCAGGCTTTTCCGATTTACAGTTTCCGGCTGGAAGAACGGTCAGATCTCCCGGCTTGACACGTGGCCTTCCCGTTCGGCGCGTTTTCAGAGAATGTGGGCTGTTAGGCTCATCGTAGTGGCCTTGGGTTGAAGTTTCCATGGCGGAGATCGTGATCTAGGGTTTTTGATCCCCCTCGCGTGTTGTTTCTTTCTTTCGTTGATTCCGGTTTTGGGGGAAAAGAACTCTGAGAAAGACGGAGGCCTACAGAGTGCCGCCGAGGAATGAGATGGTATGCGAATCAAATGCTTGGCCATTGTAGCCCGTTTTTTGAATAGTTTTCTTCTCTTGATTCCAAAATTGGTTGATGAATTTTTACTTCTCAGTTAGATCTTCAAAATTGCTGGGCGCCTTGCAATTGTTTTCTTTCTTCTCTGATTGCTTCAATTGATTGGGAAGCTCTCTTCCTTCCTGCAGCTCCTGAGAATTTATTGTCTGGTTACTATTACTTTCTGAAAACAATTTTAGAAATCTCTTGAATTTTCTTGTTTTAGTAAAAATTTGTCCAGGCTTACTCCAATCTTTTGCTTGGTTTGATCAGCCAATAGGGTGCATGCAAGATTGATGTCCTGGTGCTTGAATGATTCTTTTGCCCACCCTTCAGCTTTTAGGCGGCAATTGTTTATTATAATTGTTTTCTGGGGACTAGATTGAAGGTTTTAACCTATGTACTTTAGTTGACTTGTACAGAAACTACCGTGTGAATTCGGTTGGGGAAGGATTTGAGGGGCATGTAAGAGGTTGAAAAATCGTTGAGGAACTTTGCAGAGGGTCATTAGATAGAGTTCGGTCACCTATCTAAGGCTGTTGCGGGTTTGGAAGTTAGTGCTGGGTTCTTTGGAATTAACCATCTTTTGACTAAATATTTAACATGGGTCCAGCCGGAGAGGCCTGTTCCCAGGCCTCGGGTGTGGCGATGCATGATTAGTAGACGTGGTCTTTTGTGCTTTGACCCAGTGGTTGATGCCTTCTTTTGAATTCAACTATGGTTGCTGTTTCGTTTGAACATTCTAGGGGGAATTCTTTTTGGCCTTTTGTAGTTGAAAGTCGCCTGCTCATATTGGGGATTAGGACGGTAAAGAGTTATAATAGCACATGATTAATTAGGAATCGTGGTTGGCTTATTCAACCCAGTACTAGTAGCAGCCCAACCTCTGGACTAAGCTGCTTTGAGGTTGGGCATGCAGCGGCTTTGAGGTGGTGATTTCCTGTAGAATCTCATTTGGGAATATCATCGGCACAACTCTGCCTCTGGATGTGGCTCCCGTTTATGTCGAATCTGTAGCAAGCCCTTCACTAACTTGGGGGGTTTCGTGCATTGAGCGTATTTATCATGTCATGTTTAACTGAGTTACAGTATGTGTACAACTGCGATGTTGAGAATTTAATTTCTCACTCTCTGCTTGAGTTGATGTTTACAAAAATTTCCTTTGGTCTCACGCCTTGATTTTCATGATTTTTTGTATGATGATGTTTCTTATCTGAAGGTCGAAGGAAGGGTCTGCTTATCAAAAGAAGCTGGAAACGGGTTAGACATTATAAAGAGAAAGAGGCTACAGCGGATGAAACCAGTAAGTGGTACAGAGAATGTTGGTATTCCCAACACGATGAGCAGAAGTGGAGGAGATGCTTTGAGGGCTTCAGGATCATGTGGGTTTAGATTGCCTGGCACTGCAGGTTCATTTGCTCATTCAAACAGCAGCACGAATGGGAAAGACGCATTCTTGAAGCGCAAGGTGGATAAATTTGATACAAGTGACTTGCAATGGACAGAGAAAATTCCTGAATGTCCTGTGTACCATCCAACACGGGAGGAGTTTGAGGATCCTTTAGTTTACTTGGAGAAAATTGCTGCTGAAGCTTCAAGATACGGTAATTCATACCTTTCTCAGCTCCTTGATATGGTGTTAATATTATGCTATGTTATGGAATGGATTGTTAAAAACTGGAAAATTTTCTATTAACGGGTTTGGACTGTGTTGTTATTGCTGAAAACTATGGACCTTTGTGCAATGTGATTCATCATTACATTATTATACTATTGTACAAGGGAACTTTCATATGATATCTAATTTTCTCAATTCTCTCCTTGTTATTCCGTAGTATTCATTGTTAGTGCTTCTTGTGTGTGTTTTTATGCTGTTGTGAAGCTCTTATATATGTTTTGCACGTCTGGATTTTAATGTTTACTAAACAAGTGTCTGAGTGGAGGTCTCTCTGATATCTTAATGGCAGCAGATTGTCACTAATTTGGTGTTCATATACTACATCTGACTATCATCCCTCATGGGAACATGTTATCTCTCTGGGAAGATGAGTCCTTGTGACGCATTATGTGATATTTGATATATCAGATGGGATTTTGGTTGTTCTTTTGTTTCTTTGCCCCCTGAATTTTCATTCTTCTCCCCAGGTATTTGCAAGATTGTATCTCCTCTGAGCGCTTCTGTTCCTGCTGGGGTTGTATTAATGAGGGAAAAGGCAGGTTTTAAGTTCACCACAAGAGTACAGCCCCTTCGGCTTGCAGAGTGGGATAGTGATGATCGGGTCACATTTTTCATGAGTGGAAGGTGATTTTCTTTTGGCGTGTACATATACTTGTTCCTGCATGTATTTGTTGTTGTCCATTTAAATTGCTGGTGTAACCTCTTTCAGGAACTATACCTTTCGTGATTTCGAGAAAATGGCGAACAAGGTTTTTTCACGTAGATACTGTAGTGCTGGTGGTCTCCCTGCAACATACATGGAACAAGAATTTTGGCAGGAAATTGGTTGTGGAAAGACGGAAACCGTTGAATATGCATGTGATGTTGATGGCACTGCCTTTTCATCCTCGCCCACTGATCCACTTGGAAGTAGCAAATGGAATTTAAAGGTTTGATTTCACTTCCCCTTTCACAAGTATCTCAATTTCATGTTGCTAGGGATTAGTCCCCTTAATAATGGTATGATCAGATAGTACTTTAGCTGGCATGAGCTTTACAATTCTAATTCTCATGCTATTGCAATGAGCACATTGATGCTGTTTTAAATGCAAAGTTGGGAACTTGTAAAGTTGCACTTTGTAGTAACTATTGCATGAAGGATGGAATTTTCATGGTGAAAGAGAGTTTGTTGGATTAACATGATGAGAGAAGTAGTAGTTGGTGTTATATTGGGTAAATATAGTCATATAGATGGGGTTGTTGAGTACCAAGATGTTTTTAATGGTTTGTCAAAGCTGAGCTAAAGTTTGGCATGGTGCTATTATGTATCACTTGTTGGTGTAATAAGAGGTCTTTGATTAACAGATATAGTTGATGAGCTTCTTGTTCTTAATTACTGCAATTCTTCGCTTCTTACCAATGAGCTCCTAGAAACAGTTTCTCATTGTATGTCTTGCTGATTGACTTCATCTTATGTGTCTTCTCAGAATCTATCACGGCTGCCAAAGTCTGTTTTACGTCTTCTGGAGAATGCTATTCCAGTAAGAACTCAATCCAGAATCAATTTTCCCCTTTGTTTAGTCGCATCATGTTCTTCTTATGCTTATTTTATTCTTGTTGCAGGGGGTAACTGATCCAATGCTTTATATCGGAATGTTATTCAGCGTGTTTGCTTGGCATGTAGAAGATCACTATCTGTATAGGTACACTTTAACTTGATTTTGACTCTGCACTCAGATACAGTGCTTTTTGTATTTCCTATTAAACCTTTTGCGTCCAAATTTTATCACAGTATCAACTACCATCACTGTGGGGCCGCCAAAACTTGGTATGGGATTCCTGGCCATGCAGCACTTAAGTTTGAAAAGGTTGTCAGGGAACATGTATACACACACGATATTCTGTCAGCTGATGGTGAGGATGGAGCTTTTGATGTGCTTCTGGGGAAAACAACACTATTTCCACCAAATATATTGTTGGAAAATGAAGTCCCTGTCTACAAGGCTGTTCAGAAGCCTGGCGAGTTTATCATCACATTCCCTAGAGCTTATCATGCAGGGTTTAGCCACGGTATGATGTGTGCCATTTTAATACTTGCCATTTTAATACTTTTATGACAGAATTTGTTGCCGGTTTGTAGGATGCTTATTTCAGCTTCCTATGAAATTTTTAGGTTTCAATTGTGGGGAGGCTGTGAATTTTGCAATTGGTGATTGGTTCCCTTTGGGGGCTGTGGCTAGCCGGCGTTATGCCTTCCTCAACAGGATGCCTTTGCTTCCTCATGAAGAACTTCTGTGCAAAGAAGCGATGCTTCTCTATCAACAAGTGGATCTTGAAGACTCGAGTTGTTATTCCACTGGAGACGTGGCCTCTCAGCATAGTGTCAAAGTCTCGTTTGTGAAGCTTATGCGTTTTCAGCATCGTGCTCGCTGGGTTCTATCCAAATCAGGAGCATGCACTGGGCTTCAGAGAAACACCTATGGCACTATCCTCTGCAGCTTATGCAAAAGAGACTGCTATGTAGCTTTCATTAACTGCAACTGTGATTTGCATCCTGTGTGCCTTCGGCATGGTATTAAATTTCTCATTATAGTATTATACGTGTTTTGAGTTTTATCAAGTTTCTTTCGGTGCTTATGCTGCTGGTTTTGGATATTTTGTTATGCAGATGTTGCATCTCTGGATTTCGCTTGTGGGAGAAATCTTACTCTATTCTTGAGGGAGGAAACTAAAGAACTGGAAGCCGCTGCTAAGAAATTTGAGGAGGAAGATGGTATAGTGCAGGAGATGCAATATCAGTCTCTCTCCAGTGATGATTGGTGTTTGTATCCCTTAACTGATAAGTGGCACAACACGATGAAGGATGGATACAATCCTTACTGTGAAATAAAATTCGAGTTTTCTGGTCATTCTGCTTCGGAAGTTTCTGTTCTCGTGGAATCTTCTTTGGGGCAGAAAGTAGAGTGTTCTTCTTTGGTGACTGATGTAAGTCACAGCTTTACTTGCCACCTGCTTGTACTTTCTGAGACCTTCTTTCACACACTTTGTTTGAACCATGTGACTATTCAAAGCTTGATTGTTTAAACACCTTCAAATTTTTAATAGGGAAAGGAGCTGCTTGACCTGAACACCATAGGGAGTATCGACGATAGAGATCTGATGCAAGAAGAATTGGACAGGACCCTTGGGTTCTCAAGGTCATCGGAGTTGAATGATAAATGCCCAAAGATCCAGCATGGGAATAATCATGTTATGGAGCCTATGCCTCGTGCAGATCATTACAGTGATGATTCAGATTCTGAGATATTTAGAGTTAAGCGTAGATCTTCTCTGAAAGTTCAGAAACGAGCTGTTAGTGATTCCTCATTCCCCAGAAACGATCCTGAATGCCAGGTACATATTCGCAGTCCATATGTCTCACTTGATTTTTGAGGCAATAGTCAACTTTGATCAAACCTGAAATGGATGTGTTGGTTTTAGCTAATCTAATACAGTCAAGTGAACCTTTCTTAAGTTACTTTTTTTATAAGGTGAAGCAAATATCCTATATGTCAGTCAAATGCTATAATGCTTATTTCCTTCGTTTACTTGGGCTCAGGGGTTTAAGCGACTGAAGAAGCACCATGGGGATGGAGGAAGATGTGGGCAGTCAACTTCTCCATCGTCAGATTTCTCAACTCGGGTTGGTGGATCTTCGAGTCGAAATTCCATGTCATACTCAGAAGGTAGAGAAGCTTCTGGAAGTAGTAGTAGTGTCTTGAAAGATATGGACAGATTGCCTAGGGGAAGCTCCATGGCTCCCATCTCAATAAAGATCAAGAAGGTCACCACCGAGGAAGCACTGAGTAGGCACCGAGAGTATCAAAGAGAAGGAAGATTCCATCATGACTTAGGCAGAAGACTGGAGTCTGCTCCCTCCATAGAGATCGGGCCTAAGCGTCTCAAAGTCAAAGGCCCCTCATTTCATCTAGTTTCAGAGAGCAGATTAGATTGACTTTCATCTGGAGCAAGCAACAACATCATCATCATCATCATCATCAATTACTAGAGCCTGACATAGCTGACTTTGATTTTTCTCTAATGGGGGGCTTCTAACAAAACACAGAATGATCCAACAAGATTCGATTTTTCTTGGAGCAGCAAAACGGTGTCTCTACATCACCATCAGCCAGCAGCAGCAGATTATTATTAACCGAACCAACCAACAAAGCAAACCCAGATTAGGAGGAAATTTTTATTCTTTTGTGCAGCAGGGCCTTGAATTGGGGCTGCAGGATTGCTGCACAGATGGGCAGGAGAAGAACATAAATTCCGTATCCTGCAAGGAATAGAGGGAAAGATTGGAAGTTAGAAATTCGGTTAGTGAGTTTCCTTCTGGTCTTACCATTTTGTTTTTTCCCCCTTCCCCTGTAAATGCATTTGTGTCCAGGTTTCAACTCATTTTCGATTCTTGTGGAAGGATAATTGGTGGGGTATTCCTGCTATTTTCCTTTCATTTTTCATTTTCAATGCTACTGCTGCTGTTGCTGCATCCATCATCTCACTTTTAGGTTTCTTGATTCTTTCTCTGTAATCAAACACGATCCACATCGCTCGCAATAAAATTGCAGAAAGATCTCTCTCCTCATGGATTATTTTCAGCCCGCTGAGCTTTTTCGGGTTTTTGCTGTTAATTTCGGAGCTCTGACTGGCTTGTGTCTGCAGCTTAATGGTTTATGTTCTTGCATGAGATGTGTGTTTTCGCAGATAGGTGAGTTGTCCTGCTTATTTGAAGTGTTCCGATGTTTGGGTATTAGGTGGCCTTTCCAGTTGTTGAAACCGTGTTGAATGAGTCTTTGATTATTAGATTGTTCTGTCATTTAACAAATGCCTTGTCATAGTTATGCAGATTTGATTTTATTAAGAGCTGGATTGCCGTCTAATTATGTACTTAATAATGTGGAGGCTCGTCTCTTATTTTTATCCATATGGCCATGTAGGAGCAGTTTTCGTCAAGGATTCTTGCGTAAGGAGATTCTGGGTTGGTTAGGCAAGAAAGTAGCCCCAATTATTAGCTCACTTATAAAGATGACTTGATTAGTTTAAATTTATTGTTATTGTCCCATTTGAATTGATTGAAGCTATAAATGGTCATCAGTTCAGTGCATAATACATTTCTGTGAACATGATTTCACTTGGGAATAGTGATGGCAATTTGCCTCCGTGGGTATTACCAACCTCTCCCGCGAGGGCGGGTATCTCTATATCCATGTCCCGCCTCGTGCTAACATGGATCGGGCGTGTAAAACTCGCGCAAGCAGGGGTGTACATATTAATCGAACAAGCAACTACTGGTTGATGGTTCAATCGTTAACCGTTTAATGATCAACCTTCGACTCTCTTCCTCCCTTCTCATCAGAATTTGAGATTCGTATTATAGAAACATGAAAAAGCTATGTTTTCAGAACCAGACCTGAGGCTGAACCGGAAAAGTCACTGGTTTAGGGTCCAGTGGTTAACCGTTACAAAATCGTTGATAGAACCGTTCATGATATAGACTTGTATATTACACAAATTTAAGAGTAAAGTTATCATTAACCATAAACAATTTCAAATTCATATCATCACAACAATATCTACTAAATCATTCAAACTATCTCGTAAAAGCAATCATAATTTTTTTAATTCAAATTAAAAATTATGGTGGCAAACAAAAGTGGACTACAAGGTTGGAAAATGAGAAGCGGAAGCATATGTAAAATTAATAATTATGGTTTGATGGTCTTAGTTTATGTTAAAAAATTATTTAAAATTTTTTTTGTGGTTAAAATAGTGAACCACTGGACTAGTTAAACCGTGGTGGTTCATCAGGTTTTATGTTGAGCCGTGAAAAATCGTTTGGTCTATCAATAACCGTCCAAGCAATGAACCGAACCGCTATCGTAACTGATTTGGCGATTTTACTGGTCCACCCGTTAATCTGGTTCGGTTCTTATAACAATGGGAAAAAGAAGTGGAAACCAAGAACATATTTGTAGCCAAATAAGTGATAATCGAGCAACCTATTTCAGGTTTTGTTTCTCAGGAAACGACAACTTAGTTTTCATTTTAATTTTGTTTTCTTTTCTTTTCTGGCAGTTAACAGAAATAGAATGGCAAGTAAATGGTAACGAAAAAAACAACCCGGCGTTTATACACGTTTGGTCGGTTTGGAAAAGATAAAATAGAAACACCAATTAGGTGATGAATGGAGAGGCCCAAAACGGTAGGCAGGTCAGTGGACCATTCTGCTAAATTCCAAGCCCGATTACTACAGAAGTCCACTTGTGCTCGAGGTCTGTTTTCTGTTCTCGACTCTTCTATTAGCAAAATGGCTGGGGCCCAATATCTGTAATATACTGGATTGTTCTTGACATAGTATCTATCAAAATGCTTTGTTAGACAAAATATTGTTCATATTTTGATAATCTCAGTATAAATTATAGATTTTAAGCACCATTTATAATATACTAGATCTGATTTTGACTCATAAATTGACTCTCATATGAACAAACATGCAATTGTATACTCTTAATCTGTGCTACTACAGGAATAATGGGTAAGAATTGTCATTATTTTTATATATAAACGTAAAGTGAGGTTACTGTTACATAAACAGTTACACTTTGATATCCCAAATTTAATTAAATTACAATTTAATCATTATAATGTACATTTTATATTTTGATACTCCAAATTTAATTTTAATGTGAATATCATTGAACAATTATGTTTTGGTATCTAAATTTTATGAGATTTTCATACTTCCAATTTTCTAAATTTACATATTGGTTCAATGTTTAGATTTCACTTGAATTCATGAATCAACCCACCAATCCTTTTGAACCAATCCATGAATCCAATAATGTAAATTATAAAGGGGTGAAAGCGAGAACGACTTTCACGTAAAAGGGGAGATTCTAATAACGTTTAATATTAAGGAAAATTTTAAGGTAAGGACCTTAGGCTGTAGTAATGACGAGACTAACCCCTTCTCACTCACCAGGTTGAGGAAGGGTAAGCGGATGTGGATTTCGAGAAGAGACAAGGCGAGGCAAGCGGCCGCACTAGCTTTGACGAGATATCGGAGAGCTCATAGAGGAGTCAGAGTTAGATTTGTTTAGTCATTTTATGTTTCATGATTATGAGTATAAACTGGAGGTTCAGAGGTTAAGTTTCAGTGACTATGGATTGTGGTGACCAAAGTGTTTAGGGCATTTTGTTTGAATTTCTTTTGGAAATGTTCTGGTTGTATTTGTTTTATGGAATTTTTTAGTACTGTTTTTAACCGGCTCCAGAGCCATGAGTTTGGGGTGTTTCACTACCTCTGGCAGGGAACAAAATGTTCAAGAAACTCTTCATTCCATCCTCCTCCTCCAGGCACTATTAGTTATGCAACTGTTGGATCACTATACTCCGGGATCACCTAAGCACAGCAAGGAGGGCCTACGGATGTAACTTAGGAACCCAACTAAAATTATTAATAAATACCATCCGATTGTTGCTCATATGCCAACACAACCCTTGCTGGAGCAATTGGCAACCATAAAGGGAACTCTGCTAGCCCCAAGAGGGTCATGACCTCGTCGTAGCCGTGAGGAAGGACCCTTTTGACTAGCTAGCTAGAAAGTGGTATAAAACGAGGAATCATTGATTGATTTATTAAAGAAGGTCGATTCTTTATTCAACCTTCTGGAACTGAAAGATAATGAGTGTCTAATTTTGTTCCTTATTACTTTCATCGAGTCTATTAGTATATTGGAAGTAACTAGAGGTGGCAATTGGAACGGATTCGTGGATTGGATTGATGGATCAATGGATTGATCCACGAATCCAAATGACATCCAAGGCTTGGACCAAAATGTAATTTTTAAAAAGTTTAGGTACTAAAATGTCATGATGAAAAATTTTAGGTACCAAAATGTAAATTTCCAATGTTATTTTTCGTATAAAAATATAAATTTTAGGTACCAAAATGTAAAATATAAAAAATATAGGTACCGAATCATAATTTGTCATTTGGATCCATGGATTGATCCATGAATCCACCAATCCAATTGGATTTGGATCAAATGGATTGGATTTAAATGGTTTGGATTAGGTGGATAGTTTGGTGGATGGATTGGATTGGATTCATGGATTTGGATCCTAATTGCCACCTCTAGAAGTAACCCTAATTTTGTCGTTTGCTCTCAAGTTTTTTTTTATGGTCACCTCTTAGCTGAGCTGTTAGTATATAGGTGACTTGAATCTACAACTCACCGTTTCTTTTTGATTAGTGGCATCTTGTTCCTAAAAGAAGAACATTGAACCCTTTATGTAGGATTGTGAGGTTTAAGATTTGGTTTCAAACTATCTATGGGTCGTGTGGGCATTCCAATGAGCTTTTATATTCTGTCTTTCTTGACAATCAACTAATCAATAGCATTTTAACGACAACTTAATTATCATTATGAAAATGAGATCAATGATACATTTTTACATTTTATATTCTTAAATGATGATGATATTTCTCCGAATGTTCGACCTATATATTCTTTCTTTATGTAACATCTTGATTGAAGAACTGTCAGTAAAATTAAACGGGTTGATAGACTTAAACATAACATAAAAATATAAATAATCAAATATGAACATTCCAGTCAAGTAGTCGGGTTATAAGCTAGTTACTATGAAAAGACACTATAAGTACAAATGACAATTTCGTTTGCCGAGAAAGCCATAGTATACACTTAGCAGTTTGGTTTGTCTGCTAATAATAAGCGAACTCTTTTAAACAGGAACCAAATACAAGCTCATCAGGAACACAACATCGAACTTCCTCTAGTAATGGATTGAGTATGAAAGAGCTCTTAGAAACAGTTTTGAACTCTTGGCTAAACAACGAGTTTGGAGTCTTTTGATCGTTCAAGTTTTAGACATTCAATAGAAGTGGGATGATGAAGATTTTGGACTGGGGACTCAGAACACACCACG